GTATTGCATCTATTTAATAACAAAATCTACCCTCAGGTACAGTACCTTTTCTGGATGAAAGTTACCTTAATTACATTCCTGTCTCCCAGACTTGTATGTCAAAATTTCATGATGATTAGTTCAGTAGTTAGGAAAATGAGTTTAAAAAAAGACAATTTAGAAAACTAGATACGAATAAATTTGACTCAGATTGACATCTCACTACATTATTAATAAAGTGCCAATCAGCTGACAAAAAGCTGTAGTTTTCATAAGCACATGTTCCCAGTTTCTAGTGTTAAGGTCTTTGCCCTTAAGACTCTAACCACTCTGACAATACAACACTGACAAAGTAAAATCAAGAAAAATCTTCAACATCCTCTTAACCAAACATATCACAATTATTACTGCATCAAATGGGTGGTGGAAACTCTGTATAGAGTTTTGAAAAATCTTCTTATATTTTTTTGATGCAAGCTGATATGCAAAAGTTCTTGTCTAAAAGACTTGCACATTGACATTTTTAATCCAACCTGGCTATTAAGGCACTGATACTGTCAGCATGTCAACCCCTTGGGTCTTGATTCCACCCCTTGACTTTATTAAAGACTATCAGTCTGATACTCTTCAATAGATTTACTTTAACACCATAGACATTTAAGAATACTGTCCAGTTAGACTGTTAGATTCCAAAAGTATACAAAATCTTAATGGAAATCATCAATCATCATCAACAGCCTTTAATAGTCCACTGCTAGACATAGGCCTCCCCTTAGAAAAGAGGTTTTGGCCTACTACACCACGCTGACAAGACGAGTTGGACTCTGACAAGATCTATGTCAAGTTTTCCTTCTCTTTGCAGTGCTGTTACAGACACCCACAGGATGGATAAGGGTGGTGACACTCTGTATTCTTAGTCTGTCACTACACACAACTTATTGGAAGTAGTAGTTGTAAATAAGTGACTGGTTTTAGATGATTGTTTACATCATAAGTTAACATGGGAGAGCCATGATTTAGCACAAAAGGGCCAGGTTGATCGATGTGATACCACAGACTCACAGAAAACTGGTGTTAAGCAGTTCTTTCATAGCTTTTTACCGAGAGAGTGAGTACCGGAGCTTATATCCACACTCCTCCTGATTCTCCTGACTGTGTTAGTCTTGAGTTTCCATGTGTGACGGTACTCAATCTGCTCTTTGTCCACCAAAACCATAAAATAAATCACATCGCACTTCCAGCATTTCTTGCGATTGCATAGATTCATACATACATTCATAAGATGCATCTTCATGCATATGTAAACATGCATGAAGCTTTGCATTTAATTATACAAAGAGCTGAATATAAATCACCATTAACATCTTCCTGCCCTTTCTAAAATTATAAGTGTGGTTGGTGCAATATAATAATATATTTTCGGACATCAGACACACAACGCCATCTAGTTTCGAACTAATCAGAGCTTGTACTATAAAAGCTAGATTGACTGATAGAATACTTATATACTACACATTATACATAGAAAACTTCCAAACTCCTAACAAATATTTGCAGATCGTAGAAACATTTGGTCTGACCTGGGCATCAAACCAGCACAGCAGCCGCATATGCTACTACTGTAACAAGCCTGTCTGTGCTTAAATATGTATAATTGCAACAGCATTCGACTGAATTCATTTATGGCTAACTGCCTTTCTAACGGTAAGCTACCTTGGGAACGTAAACCATTCAGGCAGGACAAAGGAATTAGATAAATTGGGGTAACCAAAAAAAAGCTTAAGTAAAGGGAGCCAAGATGGCTCTAGTTTCAAGAGGATAGTCACATACATGTTTTTCTAGTAAGGCCAGGTAGTCCTAACAGCATCTCAAATCTTACAAGACATTCATACAAATTTGTAACCCTGTGATCCTAGTCAAAAGTAGTTCACTAAATGGTATACACAGGATTTTCAGAAATCAAGGGAAACAATTATGAAATCTAGCATTTCTGCATCCTATAACAACTTTAATGCTTGTATTTCTTAAACACATGGTAAGCACTAACCGTAATGGAGAGGCAAAACATGATCAAATCCATGCACTTATCTAAGTATTATTGTGTATTAGCATTACTCTGTTTCTGCTTTCAAAAATTTAATGTATGCTTAAGATAAAATGACTCAAAAATATTTTGGGTTTTGGCCTGGTGTAATAATTTCAAAACTTTCCTAAGTTTAAAAACAGTTTATTTTGTAGCATCTTAGTCATTATAATCAACAGCCCCTAATAGTCCACTGCTGGACACAAGCCTCTCCTTAGAAAGAAGAAGGAGCATCTTAGTACTAGGGTATGATGCTTCTCCTCCTATTCGCTTTCCCTGTTGCGTCAGCGACCCTGTATAGTTATGTAGCGAATGTACACACAGATTAATCATCTCCACATTAAAAGGATACTTTGTAGGTACTATATGTAGTGTAATATTAAATAATTTAAATACAGTAGGAGGTTGCTGCCATTAAATCACTCCGAAAAGGAAAATAATTTCAATAATTATGAGGACAAGTTATCAACTGAAGCTACTTGCAACACGGTCTCACTTTAGTATGCTATCATGTTATAACATAAAGTACCTACCTTTATGGAAAATTAAAACAAATTTAAGCTAAAAACAAGAAGTACATGAACAATATTGAATTTTGTCATAACATATTATAGAAACAAAGGATTTTTGTGAAGGAACTCTCCCCACTATTTAAATATATTCATAATCACTCCTAATGGTTGTAGTGTGATATTAAATAACCAAGAAGGAGGTTTACAAAAGCAAAAACAATTTAAGAAAGACAAACTTCAGCCAAGGGCATAGACAGTAGGAGCTTGACTAATCAGTCATGTGTTTGTGATGTATAAAGTGTAAATTCTGTTTGAATTGTAATTATATGCCCGTTAACTTGATTTACTGATCATCAACCTGTCATACTAACATTCTGGACAATATAATTTATTATTAAAATACATAATACAAGTGTACTCTATGAAGAAATACCTGATTGGCACTTACTGCAAGAAAAGAGATGGAAAATGACAGTTAAATTTATGTAAGGAATGTATAGTAGGCCAAAACCTTCTTTCTAAGGAGAGGCTTATGTCCAGCAGTGGACTATTAAAGGCTTATGATGAAGGAGGGTAACAAGAAGTGTTTATTACTCATAAAGTAGGCATATAGAATATTTTTTTATTCCTTGAGCTTTAATTTTTAAGTAAAACAAATGTTTTTGGTACAGCATCAGATAGGTTGAATGTTAATATAATATAAAGAAAAAACAACCATTCATTCATTAAAAAAACTAGTACAAACCACAATAATAACAATTTATTTTTACGTTAATAATCTGTAAATAAATAAAATCTTTATAACATAGTGTAAACATGACTGATAAGTTGAATTTATAGTAATCATGCATTTTAATAAATGACAGCTAATGAAATTGAGTGTCAACAAACATGGACATTGTAAAAAACATATTTGCTATACTTACCAACTCACTGAGACCTGTCTCCCAACATTTGCTGTATAATAACATGCACTAAGACAGTGCATTACAAATAAGCACTAATTGTGTTCACTCAGAGCATCAATCAGTATATAAAAAGATTGATGTACTCCAACTAACATAATGGTTGTTTATAATATAAATTTATGTTTCATTTAGCTATTAATTTGTCAAACATGTGCTTCAAATTGTAAAACAAATTGATCTTTGGGTGTGTGTTTATTAGATCATAAATTGATTCATAACTTTAAATTAAATGTTCATAATAAATATAAAATGTTAGATTGGGATTGCAATTCATGTGATATTTAAGTTTATTTGTTTATAAATAAAGGTTATTACATGTTTTTGTGTACTTTGTAAACGTTTAAAGTGAAAAATTGAGATGGAATAGGTTATTTGTGGTTGAAAAAGAACATGGCAAGTTTATAGCAAACATATTTAGTAGAAATGTTAACAAAATTAGTATGTACAAAAACTAGCTCAATAAAGTGATATCCAGTTTTAGCACTATTCAACAAAGAATGCAGAGATAAAACAACTTTGTGTGCAATCATGAGCATGATGTAACACAGTCACTTGAAAACCTGTAGTCCTTCTATTTTATCACTCCTACCAGTTTGTTAATAGTTTGCTAAGCAGGTAAATGACCTGAGTTTAGGTAGGTATGGGATATGCCACACAATATGTGTGAGGCGAGCTATCAAGGATCACCTGAGCATGAGGCTGGCTGTTGTTACATGGACTGCACTCTTCACTGAGCCCCGGCCACTGCACACTCACTAACAGAAACACATCCAACACTGATTTGAAGTGTTTAATGAGTGAGACAATATAACAAGCTCTCAACACCAGTCAGAAACACAATCTTACTATCCATGTCTACTGGGACTCACTGATACACTCACACTGCACTACTGAGCTACTATTATCGTACAGGGGTGCTCCACGCGCGGCTAGGGCGCCCGACCGTGTTCGTAGTAACACTAAAGGCACCAATCACGACCTAACCTCAAAATGCACACTAAAATGAACAATTGACAATCACACAGATGTTAGCAAACCCGACTGTACACACATGACATCACCACCGCGACTGTGTTGTACGAAATTTCACAAAGAACGCTCGCAGTGGCCGTGCGAGGCTAGCAGTATGGATTTGTGGGCAAAATGCTTTGTTTGAGTAAGTAAGTACGTACTCGCAGCCTTCACTGCATATAGCTATAGGTAGGTGGGCGCGTATGTTAGGTATGTGTAGTGTGTAGTGCACGGGTTATATGCACCTAGCCATAATTCACTCGGGCGTTTTGTGAGCGCTACGACCGGGCCGCGGCAAGTGCGAGGCCCGAGGACAAGCGCGCCTCTCGCACCGCCCTTTGTCTCGGGGGCGGCGCGACAGGTTTCGTGCGCCCCGCAAAAACTGTAAACACGATTCTGATTTACGATCCCGGCTGCCCAAGTCATTCATACGGGTGGCACCGGGGCATGTGCGGGCGGAGGCGGTCACGCTCTGCCGCCGCGCTCGCTGCTCGATCGCTATCAGCGGTGCTCCGCCGTGTCCTCGCTCGGCTCGCACGAGCTCTAGCGCGAGCGGACGATGCGACCGTTTCGAAATGGCGCAACGCGGAGGCCGTGACGCCGCGACCGCACGAGCGAGAGAATGTCCGCTCGGCGCGAGCGAGAAACGAGCGCGGACGGGCAGTTTCGCAACCTCGGATGGGCTCGCGGGGACCGAAATAATCCACGACGTAAGAACGCGGGCGGAACGAGCACGGCACGCTGCAGAGCGATGAAGACGAGACGTAGATACTCACGGCCTGGCCACTCGCAGCGGGTCAGCAGCGCCGGCGTCCATGGCGCGCCCAGGCCCTGGCCGCGGCCGGGCTCCGGGCCGTCGGCCGAGCGACGCAACACTCTCTCCGATCTCACTCGAAACGCGACGACAAACACCGTCGCATCATTTTGACGACACTGCACATCGACCACGGCACTTCTATACGCGTATAAACACTCCGCGAACGGTGTTTTGTTACATCGGTTGACTTTTCTTTGAAAAATCAATATACATTTTCCCAGAGTTTAGAGATACGGACGAGTCGATGTCCAGCGCAGGTTATGTGCGTGAAGTTTGCAAGCTTTTTTAGCGCACCGGTGTTACCAACATTTTTTTGCCCATTTTTTGTTTTGGGTGTTGTGATTTTTTTCTAGTGATTTGCGGTGAACTTCAGACTAGTCGGGCACGTTAGGTCTTTCTTATTACTCGCGTTTCTGAGCACAGTGGCGCCAAAGTTTGAACGTGTTAACACGCAGATGAATTCGAATTTTGTGTAGAGTTGGTGGTTTAAATAAAACAAGAGTTTGGACATAATATTTGTATTAAAATTGTTACAGGGTATTTCTATTTATAAATATATTAGATAATAGACATATTTACACCTTACTTGTTAAAATTTGTTAGATAAATACAAATACTAGCTATAACTTATCAAATATATAAATGCACATAACAAAACAGTGATAAAATTAGAACAAATGAAGTGAGGCTCGTTTCGTCGTTTGTCGACAGTCGATACTGCGTTTCGGAATTAAGTTGGAGGAGTTGAATCTCACTTTAAGCATAAAAAGTGAAGAGATCACACCTCCACTTGATCCTTCACGCGCCAAATGTAGTCAAACGGTGATGTTCTTGAAAATATTATGCTAGTCTTGCAGATGATGGCACGATGTTGGTGAAGCGGTTTCACGCGTGAGCTGGAAAGATAGATCTGGCAGCACAAGTAATCAAACTGTCAAGATCCCCTGTCCAACTCAGACGTGAAGCCATACACGTAGAGTGGCAGCCTTTACACGCGGTCTGAAATACAAAAGAAATATTTAGTGAGTTGTCTGCTCCGTGTTTGTTCAGTGTGACAATCGTAGTGCGCGCGCTTGATATGGAGCTGTACCGCCTCGCTATCACTGCTCAAAAAGGTGCGGCTAACGTTTTCTGATAAGAGCACCGCTTTTCCATGTCGCGTCAGCGACCCTGTATAGTTATGTAGCGAATGTACAAGCAGTTTAATCATCTCCACATTAAAAAGATAATTTGTAAGTACTTTGAGCGACAATCACACGATGGGAACTAGAACATGTGTGCCAAAGAACCACCACATGTTATTACGTAATCGTTTTCGTTTTATTTAAACAGTGACACTTTTTTGACCGCGAAACGGTTAGCAGAAGTGGCATATAACTTCGTCGGAATATCGGTCGTAATATGTCCGCAGAGAATCAACTGCCACGTCATCTGTCTCGACCAAACTGTGTTACAGTATAAATAGAAATAATTTCACCCAGAAGTGTGCTGATTGGAACGACACTGATACTGCGGCGCGGATCGCGAAGGTACTCCATGGCGAAGACTCCAGAACAAGAACAACACGAGCAGCTCGAGTCCACAGTCAATCGTAATCACAGCCCACAGTCCGATAGAGACCCGATCGATTGATGGGCACATATTTATACTTTCGTCGATATCTTCTGATATGATATCGGTGTAGTGACACGAGGTACTAACGTCCACCATGATTATGATAAGATTCGACGAACCGGGAATCGATTGGCCCCCGTCAGCGGTATCAGTCGCGCAAACACTTCACTCAGCCAATCGGCAAGGTATCGGTGATAAGCCTCTTCGGGAACCTCACAGCGCTGTGGGGCGACCGGGGCGGACGCCACCGAGCCGCTATCTGCTAACGAGTGGAGACTACCACGACTAGATGTCATATTTACTCATCACATACACCTTTATTGCATTATAATTATCTAGCTCCTAGCAGATAAATTAATTATTTTGTTACTAACACAGAACATCACACAAATTCACTATGTCACACCATAAACTTACAACGTACTTTCAAAATCGAATTCTTATTTTTTTTTTACAGGATCAGAACACACCAACTATAAAGATGTAAAAAAGGTTGCATGTAACACAATTAAAAAGTAACGGATATAAATTATAGCTATTACATGGTCATGCGAAATTTATATTGTGAATTGATAACACCTACCTCGCTAGGATGTGTACGTGATACGTGGAAGAATTTCGACACATTAGATAAGTGTTCGGTCTCATATCAAACGGTGTCAGATGATAAGACACAAGGTGTGTACTTTCTGGAGCATATCACTCACCTGTACGCTGTACCTACTTGTTTATGCGACTGTTGAATACACGTGAGGTTCAATATCCTTATAGAATAGAGTAGACATAAAGCTCTTAGCACTTAGGTAACTTTTTAAAGATATATAAAAGACGACTTCCTAACAACTGTGTTACAGGCAACCTTAGATGGACTAAAAAAATAAATAGATCCTCTTTAGTGCAGCTTATTAGGCAATAAGAGCCGAGTAAGGGAGCAAACTACGCATTATAACAACACTGCAAAGAGAATGAAAACTTAACACTAAACCTATACCAACCCGCGTGGCCAGCGTGGTAAAGTAGTCCAAAACCTCTTTTCTAAGGAGACTGTTAAAGGCTGTTGATGATGTTGATGTTTCGGTAATTGGTAACCTCATTTCTATTTTGGACAAAATGGCTTCAGATTAAAAATTACTATTATTTATTTTGTGCCTGTCCGAGGTATAATATTCTCTAATAATATTACTGTACTTTGTGTATAATATCAAAACTGTTATGAAAAAAAAAATACCATTTTATAATTATACGATTTTGTTTTGTGTTTTAAATTTTAAGTTATGGGGCAACTGATATAGTTTGTACGTTTGATATTATCTTTATCTTTGATATTATCTATTAATCACCTATTCAGGGCTATCGTATTAATCAAATTTCAAGTTTTCCCCATTTGTTTGTGTCATTACATTAGAATGTAATAAAATATCTATTTCGTAGTATAGACTGCTGTGACTTTGAAAAATTTTGCATTTTAAGCTCTTCAAGTCGCTACTAGCTAACGACTGAGGTAATATTAACTTCTAGTTTGTCAAGGATAATTTGGTTCTGACATTTTAATTCTAATATATAAAATTTTCGTGGCGTGGTGTTTTTTACCAAAATCCTTCGAAACGGCTGGACCGATTTTTATGAAATTAGGTCTGAGAATCGGCCAACATCTATTTTTCATACCCCTAAATGATAAGGGATAAGTCTCCTTTCTAAGGAGAGACCTATGTCCAGCAGTGGTCTATTAAAGGCTGTTGATGTGATGTGAAATGATAAGGGTGACCCATCCCTAATTTTTAGTAAGGGTCAGCTAATATTATCTAGATATATCTACAAATAAAATTACTTGCCCTGACTGATTGATTCATCAACTCAGTTTTGACAGCTGATGCTTTTTATCTTGTAAACACCCACTAAGAAGGGATTTTTGGAAATTTCCCTATGAAGGGGGCAAAATAAGGGATGAACAGTTGTATGTAAACTCGTCATTTTCAAAGTTATAAACACGAAATAAGAAAATATAATCACGCGAGCGAAGCCTCGAGCAGTGGGTAGTTCAATGAATTTATGATGCATTCACGTCTGGGTTCGATGAAGATTTTTGCCATCCCCTGAATTCTTTTACAATAGTTTTACCTATCTTTATTCAGGAATCTATGGTATTATTTGTGCCGCCGGACTCAATGTCAGTGGAATTTCATGACTTTAAAGCACTTCTTGATTCACCTAATAAGTCAAGGTTACATTTAATTATCATATCAATTTTTTCGAGTGCAAGCATGCGATTAAACATTAAAACATTTTATTGTAACATTTACTTTGCGTAACGTGTGGTGACGGATTAAGAATACGGAGTGTAACCACCCCTATTCATCCCGTGGTTGTCGTAAGAGACGACTAAGGGAGCAAACTACGCAGAACAACAGCACTGCAAAGAGAAGGAAAACTTCAAACAAACCCTATACCAACCCATCTGGCCAGCGTGGTATAGTAGGCCAAAACCTCCTTTCTAAGGAGAGGTCTATGTCCAGCAGTGGACTGTTAAATGCTTTTGACGATTAACTTTGTTTGATGCTAGTTTTTTAACAGTTAGTTTTACCGTGTTCCATTCCCAAGATTCAACAGTATGGCCCAAATTTTACGAGGCCAATGATAACTAATACAAATGACTGTTTTTAATGTGTCGTAAACACATTTCTAATCAGTTCTAATCTTTATTTAGAACGAAACGGTAGCATAATTTGCTTTGGTATCTACAAAATAGGTCAATTTCAATTAATCAAGAACGCTACAAATGCCCCAATCGGTAGGAAAACTAGACAGCATTTGGTTGGGATTGTCCTAAAGCACTAAACATTTTTGGTATAGTCTCAAAACAAGTACCTATGTAGATAATTAAAGTTAAGTCTGGTCTGTTTAATGCTTGATAACAGTTCAAACTTCAACTATAAACTTTACGTTCTTCAGTAGTACATCAACAGACGGTTGACTTGCTGGTAAGTGACTACGCTGCAACATTAAAAGAACATAAGTACGATTACCAGAATTTCACAGAATTTCCTCTGGTACTCACTCGGTGAAAAGCAGTGAAATAGTTGCTTAGTACAAAATTTTGGAAGCCTGTTTGTGGTGGTATTACTCCGGTCCAGTTGGCCTCCAGTTAAACTTGGAATTCTTGTAAAATATATCACAATACTCGAACCTAAAGACATACGAAACATTTTTAGAAAAGATAGGGTACATGACATGTTTCTTTTGAAAGCTAGGAAATCACATGGTTCAGATCCTCCCCAGAGTAGAGTGCCTGAGGCTGGCCATCGGGGTGGTTTTTAGGGTAAACACCCGGCTCCTGTGTCCCCAAGGAGCAAGAGATCCGAAGGGATTTTCCACCCCGTCACCAAAAAAAGGGTAAATTTGTTTATTCTTTTCCTACTATGTCATTCGACTCATCATCATCATCAACAGCCTTTAACAGTTCACTGCTGGACAAAAGCTTCTCCTTAGAAAGGAGGTTTTGGCCTACTATATCACGCTGGCCAGACGGGTATAGGGTTTGTCTCAAGTTTTCTTTCTCTCTGCATTGCTGTTGTTCTGCGTGGTTTTTCCCTTAGTCGGCTCTTACGGCACCCATGGGATGAATAGGGGTGGTGACACTCTGTATTCTTAATCCGTCGCCACACGGAGAGGATTCGACATTATTCGACTACAATATCTTAAGTTATGCCGCTACTTTCTATTATAAGTTTGATTAGCTAAAATACAGTGTATTTTTTTTCCAGCAGTGCTATTGATTGTACTACTACATTTTTACTATTTCTCAGTAGAGATGACTAAGCCTGGTGATATTTTTTACATAAGCTCATTTTTTACTTACAATATACATATACGTCATTGGTAGGACATAGTTACCTGGAATTTGTGAGTAGCTAAGTGTATGCTGACCACGCCAAGCTGGAAATGTAAGTAATTGCAGGAAGTCAAACTTTTATCATTAGATTAAGTGTTACCTAATGATTAAGGAAACATTGAGGAATTTGATGATTTCCTGAAGCAAATATAAACGAGAAATACCTTAAGAAGTCTTTTGTATCCATAGTCATAGAGATTAGAAGAATTTTATTGGTCAATACTAATACTTATTACGTTTTATAATATTGCCATCTGCCTTGCCATTTCTTTTAGGTTTAGAGCTCAAAGGGTTTCTACGTATGTGTTTAAAGCTATTAAAATTCTCTCTTTCTCTTTTCTCCTGCATTGCAGCACAAACAGCTTGTAAATCTTAACGATCTGTTGCTCTGATATTCCATTTATTCTTGACCTTTATAATTTTGTTTGAAGTTTGAAATGGTGCCACGGATGAGGTAGACCTTCAGTCCGGCATGCAACACGCGACGACATTATCCTGTCTTACATCTCTTATAGCTGGATATTACAAGCGATTTTGCTGCATTAAAAATAATCATATAATTTAGACAAGTGATTTTCGAGTTATTATCACTCAAACGCAGACAGACTGGTGATCTAACAGTAGAAATCTATACCAATATTATAAAGCTGAAGAGTTTGTTTGTTCAGGTGTCTCAGGAACTACTGGTTAGATTTGAAAAATTCTTTCAGTGTTAGATAGCCCATTTATCGAGGAAGGCTATAGGCTATATATCATCACGCTAAGACCAATAGGAGCGGAGCACCAATGAAGAATGTTTCAAAAACGGAGAAAATTTATTACTATTGAGAGACGCAGACGAAGTTGCGCGGGTCAGCTAGTAAAAAATAATACTTTAAAACAGTTCAAACTGCCCAAGAAACTTCCATTTACTTACAAGTAATTTTACCTCACAGGTTTCTGTATTCCTTCTTAACCCTCTGGTACAGTACTTTTGATCTGGATAAAGGCTACCCAATGTCTATTTCTTTACCCGTGCAAAACTTCATAATGATGGGTTTAATATTAAACGCGTGAATGCGTAAAAACAAACTCAGTTTCAATTTAAAAAAATGGTTGTAATCTGCATCCATTCATCATCCTATAGAGCCAAAATAACTATGAACGGCAAAAGCGAATCAATTTTTTTTTGACACTGTCCGAGTGTACTACAGCCAATGAATCAGAA